AAGTACCTAATTGACACAACATGCAGTTAAAAAAAAAGTAAAACCCAAATAGAGGCAACAAGATATAAGACCAGGCAGAAAGAGGACTAACAAATACTATTAATAAATAATTTATAAAAATAATATTAATTATATTAATAATAATATGAAGATACTAATATACTAATATTAATGAAAATAAATATTGTTGAAAAGGTTATTTATAACACTATTAGGGTCCGATATAGCACTTTCAAAGCATGGTTCTTTATGGAACCTTATAAAAAGGGTCTATTTAGCACCAAAAATGGTTCTGATATTGTTACAAACCAAAGAACCCTAATTTGGTACTGTTTAGAACCATTTTTCTTAAGAGTGTATAATGCCTGATGAGTTTGAAGAACACCTGACAAGAGATCAGACACCATTCCTCCATAGAGAATCTCTCCATATCCTTTAGATTCCCAGCTCCATATTGATTCTTTTTCTCTTCAGTTCACCCCACTAATTTTCTCAGGGGACTGGGACGGCCATGACAGAAGCTTAATTTTGTGCTCAGTTGACACATTTTTATGTTGATTTTGATGTTTGTTTTGGATCGTTGTCCTGATGGAAGCCAACTACGACCCATTATAAGATTTCTAGCAGAGGCCGTCAGGTTTAGATTTTTTATCTGTTGGTATTTGCTAGAATCCATGATACCATGTATCTGAACAAGATGCAGGACCTCCAGCAGAAAAATAGGCCGAAAGCATTAAAGATCCAGCGGTATATTTAACCATTGGGCATGGGGTACTTTTTTTTATCCCTGTTTGCACCAAACCCATCTGGGTTTGCTGTCAAAAAGCTCTTTTTTTTGTTTAGTTTCATCTGACCATAGAATCCGGTCCCTTTTGAAGTTCCAGCCGTGTCTGACAACTAAAAATACAAGAGTTTGTTTTTGGAGGAGCGAGGAGGATTTTTCTTGAAACCCTTCCAAACAACATATGATGTAGGGGTTGATTTATTTATTTTAGGCTTTCTGACCCCAAGACTCAACTAATCTCTGCAATTCTTCATCTGTGATCCTTGAAGAGTCTTTGGCCACTCAAACTTTCATCCTCACTGTGCATTAAGACAATATAGACACACATTCTCTTCCAGGCAGATTCGTACATCTTTAGTTGATTGGAACTTCTTAATTCTTGCCCTGATGGTGGAAATGGGAATGTTCAATGCTTTAGCTATTTTCTTACAGACACTTTCTATTTTGTGAAGCTCAACAATCTTTTGCTGCACATTGGAACTATTCTCTGGTTTGTTTTACTCATTGTGATGGAGAATTAAGGGAATTTTGCCTTTGTGTTTCCTCATATTTATAATCCTGTGAAACAAGAAGTCATAGACAATTTCATGTTCCTAGTCACCCTGGTGTGCTAAAAAATGGGAATATTAATGGGAATATACTTCAGAGATATTTTACTCATACATTTTTTTTAGGGGTGCCAATAATTGTCTTTGCCATTTATTAATGCCATTTCCCCCACACTTTCAAATCTTTTACTTCAACGAAAGGTTAGAATTTATTTGCAATATTAGATCATGCAGCTATTTAAAATACATGTCAGTATAAGTAGGACCATGCAAATACAAAAATCCATGTTGTTATACTGTTTTTTTCAATTAATGTTTCCAATTTCTTGGCCCCACATCAGCTCACCCTGTCACACCAGCAGTCTAGTCTAAGTAGATTTGTTGTGGATTGATCAATGGGCTTTATTTACTTCATTTCATTGTTGTGTAAGATTAGAGACGGCTACTGCTAATGCCTCAAAACACATGCTACTGGTGACGCAAAAACATCAGATCAGATCAACAAACAACAGAACAACAGCACAACAGAATCTGAGGAAAATGCAACATGACAGCATGATACCATGTATCTGAACAAGATGCAGGACCTCCAGCAGAAAAATACATGCTACTGGTGACGCAAAAACATCAGATCAGATCATTCATTCGTCTGAAGCTTATTTAATCATTGTTTGCATGTGTGTGTGTGACAGAGAGTATTAACAATAGACAACTGCTCATTTCAGAATTGGGGTATACAGGCCACAAATCTTCCCTAGGTAGATCAGCCATGCTGTTTGTATACCATAATCTTCTTTAAGGGACAGAAACCAATTACAGAGCCGCACAGTAGCCAGTGAACTCCTATACCGGGTTCTGCTGGAGAAACGGGTACTGTAATGAGTTGTACCATTGTATTGTATTATTGTACCATTGTGTCATAAATTCAATGCCATATTTGACAAATAGCCTTGCATCTAATATGTTAAATCCCTGGATTACACACACATCCATTAATAATACAGAATCCACAGACTGAAGTGTTGTGCTGCTTTTATTTTATGAGCTGATTTGGGCTGCATCATTGCAATGGGAAACAATCAGAAGCAGTTGCAAAGAACAAATCGGCTACTCATTCTTGTCAAGGAAGAACTATTCAGAAAACCGCTGAAGACGCAGTGGCTGAGTTTGTTTTCGAAGGGAATATTCCCCACGAGCAACGTCAATGCTTTCATGTTTGCACGAATCATTTCTCACCAGACTGCTTTATAAAGGAGGGTCAGTATAAAGCTGGTTTTGCTAAGAAGCTGCTCCTGAATAAAGGATCGGTACCAACTATTCGTGTTCCTGCTGAACCTCCAGAAGAACTGAAGTGAGTGTAACGTTTTATTAATCTTTATATTAATCTTTGCAAATCGCTTGCACGCTTCACGATGAATGCGGCTAAGGTTTACACTCAGTACGGCATGTTTTCTATGTACGACGTTCTCAATATAATTCATAATCCCACGGCGTTATGGTTATTGTGTTATTGTGTTACAAACGGTGTACGCAGAGAACAGAGAGGTGAGCAAAGCTCATTATCATTTAAAGTCATATGCACTGAAACGGCGTGCTGAAAACAGAGCTGTTTTTGACCAGGTAAAATAAGTGTTTTCTTACAATACTAATGAAAATTTTTAATTAAAGTATATTACAAACTTTTAATTTAGACCCTAAAGAATCATATTAGCTTGTACAAAAATGGCATTATATGACCCCTTTAAGACCACACAAACATTTGTCTGTGGTTGTAGGCATATGTGTAGCTATGGCTATAAATTTGTTGGTTTCATAGCAATGCTTGCATAATCTCACTAAATGCAAAGGTCAGTTTTAAACTTGAACTGTCTATAAACCATGATGCAATGAGTTCAATGTATGATATTTATTCTTGCGTTGGTACAAATGACCATGAGGTGGCGTGTTTTTACTTTTACATGCTTTCCCAGTTAAATTTCTTCTGGAACAAACAGAATAAATTCTGCCATTCCAGAAAGTTCATAGTCTCGCTAAAGTAAGGCTCTAATATTAAAACCAAGAGCAAACCACCTTTTCGATGGCTTCAAACTAAATAATTCCACGCTGAAAATCCATTTGTGGCACCACGGACGCAAGTTTCATAGTCGACTAAATTTTTTTTTTTTTTTTTAAATCTCTATTTTCTTTATGTTATGTACAATGTGTGTAACGCTAGTTCGCAGGCACTGTTGCTGGACAGGGACACCCGAGTGTGTAAAAATAGACCATCATATGCGTTATGTAACACGCAGCACGCGCACTACGACTTCACGCATGTTTACACAAGTTAACTCCATGCCGATCTTAATAAATGACATGCGTTTTCTTACTCCCTCAAGTACGTTTTTTCACTGTCTAACACATATTAAAAACATTGTGTCTGACTAAATTATAATTCTGAAATAGGATCTTCTGCGTTTTCTGTCGTCATCTCATGGAGATGTTTAAAGCCTGTATCGAATGTGTTTAGAGTCTGTATAGGTTTAATTAAGTAACATGCCGATGCTTACATTCAAAAACTAACACTTTTTTTACAGCTAACCTACGTCTCTACAGCACTGAAGTGCGTACAGTAGATTTGTCATCCACACAGCGCTGTTTGTTTTAGGAGGAGGGGAGAGCTTGTGTGAAGGGGGATTTGCCCATATCACGTCACGGATTTGTCAATGTACCGTCAATCTTTTCGCCTGACCAATGAATCCAATGAGAAACTCCATTCGTTGGCTTGGTAAGGTACGCCTCTTAAAGATCGCGCCGCCTTATATAGCCGCGTTTCCACCGCAGGAACTTTACCCAGGAACTAGGAACTTTGGCCTGGTACTCGGTGTGTTTACACCGCAGGAACCAGGGTCTAAATGAAGTTCCGGGTAGATATTTCCCCCTCCGAAAGTCCCTGCTCGCGAGGTAGTACTTTTTCAAAGTTCAGGAACTTTCGCGGGTGGGGCTTGTGCGCTGAACATGCTGATTGGTTGTGTTCACGCCGCATTATGATTGGATAACTCCGCGCAGCATTTTATTTTAACCGGAATTTTTAGAATCTATTGCAGTTCGTGGCTTCATGCAGTAATGAAGTTCCATGCAGTAAGAGTTGTCTGTCTGCAAATATGGAATTTAATAAAAATAAAAAAGGCAGCTGGACCGACGACGAGATTCAGGCTTTATTAAGCGTATTTGCGGAAGAGAAATTTTCTGCGCGTTCGTCCCAGCCTTCTCACGGTCAATGTCCGCAATAGCTGATAACATACGCTGTCTAATTTTAGATCTAACGTTAGCATTACGAGCTTTCTGAACACGCTTTAGTATCAGTGCTCGTCTCTTTTCTGCCGTTTTGTTAATTACCTGGTTAGTAAACCAATACATCTCAAACAACTGCAGCACAGTGTGAATCTCTTCCATATTTATTATAAATGTGGCGCTCAAAACTGATTACTGTCCTTTACAGTCTACTGTCCGTCACAAGCAAGCAATGAGCAGTCGCGCGCAGTTTACCCGGTACTTTAGACCGCGATGTAAACGCAGAAAGCTACCGGTCTGGGGCAAAAAAAGTTCCTGGGAAAAAAGTTCCTGGGACAAATTGTTCCGGGCAATTGCGGTGGAAACGCGGCTTATGACTGTTTTTTCTCTCTCCCACTGACCCAAGATGGGCTGTGTAACGTCACATGTTGTTTTTTTCTTAAGCTCAGTCATTCTGAGCAAAGAGTTATTTGCTGTGAACAAGTAGGCTACGTTAGACATCGCATGGTGAAACAGCGCCGAAATCTCCAGTTCTCGGATATTTAAGTTAAATCTCTTTTTACTGCGGATGGATAACAAGTTCTATAAACTTAAGTAAATAAATTGTAAACGCAAGTATGGCAAGTCCGCCTATTAAAGTGGGATACTCGTTACCAAATGACAACAGCTTTCATTCAAACAACATCAGAAAATGTGGATACCTCAAGAAGCAAAAGCACGGACATCGGCGCTATTTTGTTTTGAAAGATCAGAGTGACGGACTGCCTGCGCGGCTGGAGTACTACGAGAATGAAAAGAAATGGAAAAACAAGTCCGCTGCCAAAAGAGTAATTTTTCTCGACTCTTGTCTGAGCATAAACAAGCGCGCTGACGCGAAACACAGGTATTTGATAGCTCTCTATACCAAGGACGAGTATTTTGCTGTTGCTGCGGAGAATGAGCAAGAGCAGGAGAGTTGGCACGGAGATTTAACTGATTTATTAAATAAGGGGAAAATGTGTGACAGCTCCGTTTCTAGTTCGGCATCATCTCTGGTGGGCTTCGACGATGGAAATTACGGCATGATTACACCGGTGAATGCTGCGTATAAAGAGGTATGGCAAGTTAATCTTAAAGCAAAAGGAATTGGGCAGAGCAGAAATATCACTGGAGTTTACAGACTGTGCTTATCAAGTCGGACAATTAGCTTTGTGAAACTTAACTCGGAGGTGGCATCTGTGACCCTACAGTTGATGAATATACGCAGATGTGGGCACTCTGATAGCTTTTTCTTCATTGAGGTGGGCAGATCTGCCTCTACTGGACCTGGAGAGCTGTGGATGCAAGCGGATGATTCTGTGGTGGCACAAAATATACATGAGACCATTTTAGAAGCTATGAAAGCGATGAAAGAGCTGTCAGAGTTCAGACCACGCAGCAAAAGCCAGTCATCAGGATCAAATCCCATATCTGTACCCACTCGGCGGAACTTGAACAATTTACCCCCTAGTCAGACAGGGTTGGTGAGGAGGTCAAGGACGGACAGTACAGCAGCCACATCTCCTGTCACCAAATTTTCTTCTTGTCGAATACGGACAGCGAGTGAAGGGGAAGGTACCATGACCAGGCCCGTCTCCATATCAATATCTGAGAATGGAAGCCCGACAGCTGTCAGCCGGAACCACATGAGCAGATCTAATACTGTCTCGGTGGGCTGCCGGACATCAGAACCATCACTGCTTCATCACAGCAGGTCCATGTCAATGACAATGTCCCACTCGCCCCCATCTGCTGTAAGCCCATTAAGTTTGTCCTCAATCAGTATGAATGGTTCCATCTCATCCACAGTACACAGACTCTCCAGCTGCAGTGGTTCTGTTTGTGGGTCACCTAATGATACTGGCTTCCTCTCGTGTGACGATTACAGTTCTAGCCCAGGGGATGTGAAGTACAACCTATCAAACAGGAGTGACACACCTTCTTCTCTCTCCAGCACACCACCTTCAAGAGAAGCCAGCGAGCTCCATGGTTATATGGTGATGGACAGGCCATCCAACTCCCAGAACAAGATGTGTCCAACTAGCAGAGACATATTTGACATGGATATATACAGGAAGAGGACGTATTCTCTGACAACCCCGCGGCAACAGGTAGCACACTCCCAGCTATCCTCAGCGTCACTTGATGAATACATGCTGATGAGGGCTGCGAACAGGAGAACAAATTCTGCATCTCCGAAGGTCTCATACCCAGATGATTATGGGAAAATTGATGTTGGCTCTTACTGTAATGTGGGTGATGACGGCTACATGCCCATGACGCCAGGCATGGCACCTCAGTGTGCCAAAAATGACCACTACATGCTCATGAGTCCCATGAGTGTTTCAGCACCCAAGCAGATCATTAATCCGAGGTCACATCCTCAGCCAACAGGCAGTGGCTGCACTACTAACTCACCCAGCAGTGGATCACTAGAGGATAGCGGGTACATGAAGATGTGGTCTGGATCAAAGTTTTCACTGGAGAGCTCTGATGGGAGAGCAGTGAATGGAGAATACATGAATATGTCGCCGGCTGACACATATGTCTCGCCCACACCACCAGATTATTTCCTGGGTCAATGTGAAACAACACAACGATCCTCCCCATCTCTAAGTATTCGCTTTAACAAGCACCAGGCACCTAAACGGGCAGATAATCCAACAGAAGAGGCCAACAGGGTTTCTGCCCTGCCACCTCTCCGTCGCCCTGACGGCATGGGACAGAGAGCAAGAGTCAACAGGCCCAATAGGTTATCTTTAGACACTCTGAGGATGCTTCCCAGCATGACTGAACACCCTCTCCCTTGTGAGCCTAAAAGCCCTGGTGAGTACATTAACATAGACTTTGCTGCTGCTACACAGTACTCCTCTCCCTCTATGGTTTCTGTGGAAAGCCAGGGCTCACTGTCCAACCTCGGCCCGGGATCCCCCCTTTCAGACTACATGAACCTCAATCAGAATTTACACTCTCTTAAACTGAGGGAAGCGCTCAACAGTCCCCTGAATGGAATGCCAGAGCTGGCTGAATGCCCATGCCCGCCTGATGAGGGGGCTTATTTCCTCAATGAACGGAGAAACTCACCATGCCCATCTGGCACAGGTAAAGACAATTACACTGAGATGAGTTTCAACAATGGTCACATCTCACCTCAATTCCTGTCTGAGAATGATGAGAGTGCTTCAGTCAGCCCCACTAGCAGGGTTCAAAGGCTGGACCTGAGCGACCAGGGGGTGTCAAAAGGAATTGGTGCTTTCTTGTTGGCTGCCTCCTCTGTAGACCCAAACGGAGGAGCAAAGGTGATCCGGGCAGACCCTCAGGGCCGGAGACGGCATAGCTCTGAGACTTTTTCATCCACCACCACAGTTGCACCTGTCTTTCCTTCCTTTGCACACAATGTTAAGCGACACAGCTCTGCCTCAGTAGAGAATGTCTTTGTCCGAAGCAGTGAAGGTTCTGATGAGGAGTACGGGTCTCCCATGTGCCGAGAGACTTCAGCTGGTTATCAGAATGGACTTAACTACATCACCTTAAACCTCATGGAGAAACAAGAGATGGGCAATTGTGAAAACCTTATGGGCTTCAAGACTGGTGGTTGCTGTAAAGCAGGAATAAATGGATTACATGTAACTCCATATGTGTGTCTGGGATTCAAAGAGACTGCAACCACTGTACAAGGTGAGTTCAGATGATGTGATTGGCTGTTATGATTAAAAAAGATGACTGGTATAAATTGGTAATAGATAAAAAGATGATGCAGCATGTTGCAAATTAATTTTCTTATATACTGGAATATGTAAGTAGCATTTAATTTGCAACTATGTACGTATTATATATTATAACATTTACAGTTATATTAAGCACAAAACACATGCTAATAGACTATAGCTATAAACTGCAATATTGAAAAAGCATTTGATTTGCAACTCTCTCTCTCTATAGTCTATTAGCATAACATTTTTTTTGTGTGTGTGTTTATTATAACTGGAAATGTGCATATTATAGGATTTATAAGACACAACTGTATCGAAAAAATGATAGGCTATTCACAGTAGGCTACTTAAAGTAATAAAACATTATTGCTGAACGAGATAATAATATGTAACTCAAAATATTTAGAGAGGTTTGCACCTCTGGCTATTTGTCTCAGTATATGGGGCATTTATGGGATTGATAAGGTGTTTTTCATTAAGAGGAATTCCAGAGAAATTTGAAGCATGAGAGACGTGACTGTCTGAGTGCCCGCGCGCGGTAAACAACCCAACTGCGCATGCACTATGACGCTGCAGTATAGAGCGGTGCGCGCACGCTTGTTTATTTACTCCAAACTCGATCAAAGCTGGCTTTTTACAGACCGAAGTGCGTTAGTGCTTAAACATTATTTTAAGGTTTGTAGGCTTGTGTATAACGGAGCTATTAAATAGATCTGTTCTCAGAGGATGGAACATGAAGCACTGAGGATTGCGAAATGTTGTTTTGAGGCTCATTTGGCTCACGTGCTCAGCAGCGTTTTCGTTCTATAAAACATATCGCCTGGTCGACCTTTCCCTTAATTCTGTTATGCCCCGTTTACTCTATTCGGTTAAACATTAATCCAAATTATTATTATTATTGTTTTAATAAAATTCCCCATTAACAGGAACACTTACATAAGGTTAAGAAGGATTCCCATGTCAAATATTCCTCACATGACATATAAAAGTGCATGTGTTCATTTGCCTACTTGAATCATATCATGCGGGTGTTTGTGAGATTAAACTGCCGTCACAAGCCGTAACAATATGCTGCTCTTGATAAAGTACAGTGCCTAAGGCTTTTTTTCTGTGCACTGTTTTTGCATAGCACACAGAAGATTGAACATGCCATGTTCTGAGGCACGTATACTGCACATCGTCTGGTACTCCCATATTTCCATAACGCCTCAATTGGAGGCAGTGTTGTGGGCCAAAATTATCCCCAGTGGTTAAAAGGCTTTTCATGGCTGGTAGTTTTCATTGCATGCAGGCAGCCTACAGTGTAAACATCAGGCAGAGGATGGATAGTGGACAGCACAGTGAGTTTAACTCTTTCTTGTCTTGAGTATTGAGCCTTGAGAAAAGAGTGGGAGGAGGAGAGTAAGAGCTAATTTGCATTGTGTCTCTGAAATGAACATGTGCAGCCATGTCCACGGGTCGGTCGGCTGAGCAGAAGAGGGAGGGCCTGGTGGAGGCTTAAGTCATGTGCTTCAGTCAGGAGGAAAAACAAGCCATGGCTGCAGGTGGTTGTTTGTGGGGTCGTTGTCAGGTAATGATGATGTTTCACGCTTGGAATGCATGACTGGGTAAAGGTTGCTGGGAGAGGCGAATACTCGCTTGTTTTGGTCTCTCTACTCACTGCCAGGCCACATAACAGCATACAGTGTGTTGACAAGAACTTGTTTTGATGTGCTTTAAATCATAGAATGCCAGAGGCTGTCAAAATTATGATGCTTTCATTTTGGTTTGTCCTCTAACTCTGATGCAGTTATTTGTTTGTTTTTTAAGTAAAAAAAATTAAACAGCTCTGGTGAAAACATAGTGTATTAGTTAAAAATTGGTAGCATAGTTGAAGAAAGATAAACCCCATAATGAAGCAGTGCAGGTGTCTCATTTCTCAAAATTACCTGTCAAAAAAGCAGCCTGCTGTGGCAGTACCATGATATAGTCATGGTATCACGTTTGTTTACTGATAGTGTTTTGATTCTCTGTTGGATTTATCAGTAACAATTTACTTGAGCACAGGAGATTTTTACTAGGGATCGCAATGAAATTGGCTTGGTAAATAGGCACCCCCAATTCAAGAAATTGGTTTATTATGTTGCCTTATTTACAAGCACATTACTGTGCAGAATTACTAAATGCGAATGGAAATAAATGGAAAGAATAGAAAAGAAAAGTTCCACAAAAAAATAGCAGGAAAAGAACATGCACAGTGCTTATTTAATCAGAATATTCTGTTTACTCCATACTCCAATTGCTGTGGAGCATGTAAACATCTTTTTCAGAATAAATACTTAACCAGAATATGGACCTTAATTGAAAATTACATGCATATAAACAAGGTCAATGTCATTACCTGTTGCTCCCTTTACACAAAAACACACACATACAGTAAATTCAGACATCCTAGTATGGCATGGCATTTACAGTTGACCTTTAGTATGGTACAACCAGTTCATTTGATGTTGACATTTTTAAGATAACACTTTTGAAAATAAACATTGTTTAAGAATTTACAAATTCATCTGTCAACAGGGATTCTTTTCAGTCTTCTCAGGGATTCTTGCCAAAAGTGGATTGTTTTGTAGTTATTTGTTAACATTGACGATTAAATGTAGAATGTCTCTGTGAGTAATTTGTAGCTTAACACGTCTTTACATGTCTCCTACTACGCTTGTGGTTTTATGAACATAATGATGAGCTGGGTGACTTTGTACCCCTCAATTAACACCATGCTATACAATATATATTTTGCTAAAGGAGACGAATATACATTTAGACATACAAAAGTAAGTAAGGTGTTACCGAAACTTTTTTCTCTCTTTTACCCACTCCCTCTCTCTCTCTTTCTCTCTGGAATCATACTCCTTTAGGAGTTTGTATGCATTTGCGTCTGTGGCAGATGGCTGAGCAGGGAAGGGTGTGGGGCTGTGTGTGTGTGCGCGTGTGTGTGTGCGTGCGTGTGTGTGTGTGTGTGTGTGTGCGTGTGTGTGTGCGTGTGTGTGTGTGTGTGTGTGTGTGTGTGTGTGTGTGTGTGTGTGTGTGTGTGTGCACCTGCCGCTCCACTCACTGCAGGTCTGTTATCAGGCATGGCAGCAGCACAGACAATACACTAATGACAGCAGGCCATCTGCTTCTGCCCCAGGACAGTGGCTAGTGCTTGTCCCTTCAGCCAGAGCGGGGCGGGGGGTGGGGGAATGAAGAGCTAGAGAAACGGTGATAGAGAGATAAAGATCGGCAGCAGTTTGCAGAGAGAAAAGAACATATGAAAGTGTTTTTTAAATTCAGACAAACCTGCACTTTTTAAAGGGGTCATATAATGCCATTTTTGTACAAGCTAATATGATTCTTTAGGGTTTAAATTAAAAGTTTGTAATATACTTTAATTAAAAATTCTCATTAGTATTGTAAGAAAACACTTATTTTACCTGGTAAAAAACAGCTCTGTTTTCAGCACGCCGTTTCAGTGTATATGACTTTAAATGATCATGAGCTTTGCTGACTCCGCCCCTCTGTTCTATGCGTACACCAGAGCCGGCTCTGGCGTACACCGTTTATAACACAATAACCATAACACGTTGTTCAGTATAAACGTGGGATTATGCATTATATTGAGAACGTCATACATAGAAAACATGCCGTAATGTACCCTGAGTGTAAACCTTAGACGCATTCATTGTGAAGCGTGCAGCTAGCGATTTACAAGGATTAATAAATATTAATATAAAGTTTAATAAAACGTTACACTCACTTCAGTTCTTCTGGAGCAGCTGCAGGAACACGAATAGATGGTACCGTTTCTGTTTTCATCAGGAGCAGCTTCTTAGCAAAACCAGCTTTATACCTCCTCGTTTATAAGCAGTCTGGTGTGTGAAATGATTCGCGCACACATGAGAACATTGACGTTGCTCGTGGGGAATATTCCCTTCGAAAACAAACTCAGCCACTGCGTCTTCAGCGGTTCGGATTTAGGAACATTAAAATGACTGCTGTGTTCGTTATTACACCCAAGAACAGAACACCACAATCGCTTAGACGCCATTCTGCTCATAGACAGTGCTCCAGCATATCAACAATGACCGCGCCAGTCCGCGCAGACTATGATTGACAGCTCGCTCGCTCACGAGCGAGGGCGGGTCTGTGTTGGAACCCTTCTGTCAATCAACAATCGTGGGAGGGGCGTGCGAGCTTGTGACGTCACAGGCTTGAACGGCTCGATTTGAGGCAGGGGAAAACATATAAGAAGATTAAAACAAAACCACTGGATGGATTTTTATCATTATATGATGGCTGTGTACAGACACTGCCAACACACATTTCAGTACAATCAACTTGTAAAAGTGCATGTACCATTATATGACCCATTTAAGTAGTGATGCAAAAAAATTATTGTTTTACAGGAACACTAAAACCAAAATAGCACTTTATGCTATTCTGGGTGTCTTTTTCTCAGGGGATAAATTATACTATACATTATATTACTACTGATATGCTGATATATTGCTACTCTGGCATAATTTTTGGTCACGATGAAGTGCGTCCACCCTGCTGACATGTTTACCTCTTGTACTTTATCCACATTGTGTAAACGAAACACTGCCACAGTCAAAATGTGTCATCCGAGAAGAAATGCTAATTGAATATCACTGTTTCTGCCTAATACATTTTTTCTACTGTTTCGGCTGAATATTTTTGGTTGCTGAAATTTCGATGCATTACTAATTTTAAGGTGTGAAATGGTACAGTTTACAGTATATTTCTGGCTGACTGTGAAATGTGTATGAACAGCAGAATAGATCACACTTGCACACAACCGTTTTTGTGTAACTTTAGCACAAGGGCAGTGAGTGTGCATTTTCAGAGAATTTAGTTACTATTCCACTACTCTTTTGAAGTTAGAAGCTCTGTCTTTGAAGCTCTGTCTTTCTCTCCCTCACATTGGTGTCAGTTTATAGAATAATTTCTTACTATTTCACTGTATGTTGTTGTTACTTTCTCCTCCCACATTTAGCTACTTGAAGAAACTACTTAATTACAACTTTACATCTTAATACCACAACAACGTAAACACCGGTCAATTACCATATAAAGTATTTATTTTTTATTTATCATGAATGATAAAGAAGGCTAGAATGCCTACTCTTTCTGTTCACTTCTTTTGTGATTTCTTTCTTTCTTTAAATGCTGTCTGTCAGTGAAGAGGTTTTTTTTTCAATCTATTGACTAGTTGTGTGAGTCTAAACTGAATATTTGGCCAGACATTTCTTTGTTTTTTTATTAGGGGGTGCTTAATGTCAGCTCCCTAGACTTTGCAACTCTAATCTGAGCTCTAACTTTAACCACGCTGAGATTTAAGCAACAAAAATTGTTAACCCAAGCAGTTCTCTCAGATTCTCCACCTCTGCAGAGCTGGCTAAACTAGGCCGGGATGTTCCCGCCTGAGATAGCCATGTCAACACTGTGAGTGTTACCCACATTTAGCCAGGAGCAAGAGGAGATTACTCCCAGGGGAGAGTGGGGGATTAGACATTGTTCAGCGGCTTGTTTTGAGGCGGATGAAAGGAGCATTGACTCAGACATAGACAGTCATTCATGCAGGTTCACAACAACCATGTCCTCATGTAGACGTCACATTTCCAGGATGATTTTGCACAGCCTCATTTGTTTTTGGGTCTTTGACGATTATAGGCCTAGATTTTAACTCATCGGAGTGGAAGTTTTTTTAACTCGTTATTAAATCCACAGCTTAGACTCTTTCTTAGAGGACTCAGTTGCTCACTTATTCCGCAGTTGGAGGTGCTGTGACATCTCTATCCAGTGATGCGCAAGCTAGCAGAGATGCTATGTCATGTGTGCATTAAATCAGCATTGCGTGACTATTTCCCGGTTCCAAGCATCACTCACTGCTGCCTAGAGCTTTCAGCATTACACACTGCATTATAGGCTGCAGACATGGTTGTTGGTACCGTCATCACGCAAACCCTAAATCTCATCAGCTGAATAAAAAAGGGAGGGTCACCATCCAATTCATCTACTTGCATGCAAGCCTGAGCCTTTTGGCAGTTGCAGCTTTGCATCCTTGCTGCTCATTGACCCTGAAACATATTGGAATTTGTGTAAATTACCCAGGATTAAATGAACCGAGGTTTTAAGCTTTAACTATTGTTATTTCAGGCAATCACATGAGTATACCCACAGACAATGCTTTGTCAATGTCTTACATTCAACTTCAAATTGCAATTATTTACTGTTTACTACAATTTTAATTCAAATTAAGTTCAAATTCAGGAATTGAACTTGAGTTTTAAAAGCATTCTCAATTCAATGTTGAATGGTGCACAATCCTGCTGCATTGACAAAGTTTTATCATGACCTCACAGTTACTTTCAATTACAAGTGTGGTTTATGACTTTATTTCATTAACTTTTTAACAAGTCTGGCAATCTGGAAATTTAGTCTTAAATCTTTTTAACAGATTCCACGTCTCTATCCTTGACTATATGATCTCACTCCACATTATCTTGAAGCAAGTGTATTAAACATTCCTGAAGAGGACAGTCCTCTTGAGAAGTCCACATTATTCTTGAAGGATTATGGGCTAATGTTCTAATTTGCTTCAAGAAACTATTAAATCTTACACAAATGTTATTTGTAATCATCATCTTTGCTCCAGCCATTATCACTGGCTGCATCTTATCTCCCATTCGACATCTCCTTTCATGTAAATTAAGGTGAAGTCTGAAGTGCTTTGCCATCATTTTACCAGTCAGTTATTATAATTTATTCATACTCTTCAGGATCACCCAAGACCTAGCAAAGAAAGACCCTGAGATTTCCTCCATTTCTTTAGTATGTGACTGTAATTCCAATGAGATTATCAGGGAATTATATCAGGATTAGCCCATCTGTGGACAGTAGACTGTTAAGACTGCTGCTAGCTCCATCCCTCCTGACATGATACCCTTTCCCTCGCTTATCCGAGAGAGGTTTAAATATGACTGTGCATCATGGGTTAATCACTCATGCTGGTCTGGAACTGTCTAAAACTGACTAAAAAATGTCATAAAAAGTGTTTTATTTTAGAAAAGTTTCATACTGAGTGAAGAAAGAAAAAGATCTTTGTTGTGAGTATATTCAGGTGTTAATAGTGTGTTGGCTCTAATTGCTCTAACCCATTTTTTTAACGGGTTCAGTTGTAAAAGGCTGCTGGATAACATTTAAGATGATTTGACGTCAGGGGTTGTACTACAGTGCAGCTACAGTTTTTCTCAACACTTTTTCATCATTCTCATTGTTTCTTGTGGTTATACATTTTTGTTTCAAATGGAGCTTTAAAAATATCTTTTTTGTTCTCCCTCTTATTTTCAGATTGAGCAAGGAGCAGAGGTTATTCCTCCTGGTACTGAGGGAAAGTGGAAGCTCAACCAGTAACTAGACCGGACTGGTCTGGTCTGGACTATGCTGCTGTAAATGAACTGTGACCTTTGCAACTCATCCTAAAGCTGTACGTCCGACGGCTGGGTTGTGATTATTCTAGTGAGGCCACTTTAAAATGCTACTCCTGCACCATTTTTCAGGATCTACAAAGCTGCTGCTCTGTTGGTAACAAGAGTCACGTAACATACATGCCACTTGTATGTTTGAACTTTTAATTATTGTTGTTGATGTGAACACTTTGTTTTTTTGGGGTTTTTTATTCAGAAAAATGATTGGAATATATTTTACCCTGAAATATGTAATCTTCATTTACCTGACATAGACAAAGGTTCTTATTGCCCTATCACATGAATAGCTACAATCGTGGTATTTTAGTATATATTATGACTAAAAGATTTCCACAAGTCCTTTCTCAGGAAAAGACTTGTACTGATGTATGTAATTTAGAAGAGATAAAGAATTCCTACTTATTTTTTCCTCAAATTGAATGTTCTCACATGACCAATCCAAAGCCTTACTCTCTCTGTCCGCAAAATTGCGACTACTTATCTGGACCTTAACAATGAGAAAATATCAAAATATGTGATATTTATTGTATACACTCTATTTTTCTAGATATTTAGTTTATTAATTAAAAACATAGTAAGTTGCTATATAAGAGTCCACTTTTGATATTCAGAGTGTCTTACCACGTAATCAGACGTGGTTATTGCAGATAATATTTAATAACTAAACATTATTAGTACATATTATATTTATGACCAAATATGGTCAACCTTTAAATCCTATGTTTCCTCAGATTCATTGTCACTTTCTCACGTTGTTGCGTAAAACATGGCCATTCCCTGTTCCTCTGCCTCAAGAATTGCATTTAACAGTAATATAATATATGATAACAGTGTCTATTTCCCATTTGCTTAGAAATAGCATGCACTATATACTAGATGGTATCGATGCACAGAAAATGCCATAAGACACCACCTTCGGCTAAAGCAGAAAGAGTAAAATGGAAGTAAATCACTTAAAAAATATTATTAACAGAATTGATAGTTTTTCCAGACAAAGGCTTATTTCAAATGAGCACTTTCAGTTTTTTTAGATGTGTGGGTCCAGAATTTGGATGAGAATTTCTGTTCCTTTCTGTGCATCACTACTTGACCACAGTTTAATAGTTGGTGACTGTCTTATTATGCTCACAATGGCTCTGTGCTGATAATATCGCAGTGATGTCTCATTCAACTAGATTGTAACACATGACGCATCTGAATGTAGAGCACAAAACCCACTTAGACAGTATGAGTGAACAGATTAGTGGGGCAGAAAAAATGATCACAACAGGAGTAATTTTAGCCATTCTCTGCTTTTCCCTGAATGTTGTGAACTAGGCTAAATACAAAAATGTGATCAGCTTAACATTTTCATGACATTTAAGATACTTCTCCTACGCAAACTGCTAAGCAAATTAAAAAAATGCAAGATACTACGCATTGCATTTGTGAAACGTGATTTGTTCAAAACTTAATAAATCCCTTATCTAAAAACACATGTATAGCACTGATATAGACGTGTTGATGCTTTTTTTTTAATTTGATGTTTAAAGTCCTAAATAAGAGTGACATATGACACAATGCTACTTTATTATGTAATTTCTTGAGGTAATGGTACTCATTCTTCTTGATTCTTAGGAAGGTCTTGCTTCTTGGGTAGCATTCATTCACCCTTTGTATATGCAATTCTTACAAATCAGATTAGTTTACAAAGTGGAACCAAATGTATAAATATTATGTTAATATATTTGTTAAAAGATTTTACAGAGATATTGAATTTATGCTGTTTGTACATTTCATTCTGCCAACTTTTAAAACTTAGATCTATCTATCTATCTATCTATCTATCTATCTATCTATCTATCTATCTATCTATCTATCTATCTATCTATCTATCTATCTATCTATCTATCTATCTATCTATCTATCTATCTATCTATCTATCTATCTATCTATCTATCTATCTATCTATCTATCTATATATATTCAACAGTGTTCTTGAAGATCTTGAGTCTAAGTATACAAATATATATCTATTGTTTGTATGTATCAAAGGGTTAATATATTTTCAATATTTGCCAGGTTTAATTGAACAAATTGTCTTCCTTGTACAAATATCACATACTGTTTATTGTTATGCTGTTAAGAGATCATTTAAATATTCTAGATAAATATTGCTTTTGAATGTGTTGCAAAAGAGTCACATGCAATAATACAAATAATAAATATCGTTATTTAAGGAAAATAAAATGTTTTATTGTTTTTTTGTTTCTTATGTCCTTTCTACAAACCCTAGAACACCTAATGATGCAAACTTGTTATATATACATACATATTTTGCTATAATTCCCACATCTTTACTGACACTGTGTCCCTAAACTTGAGGGCAATAGAGGAAGGAACACACAGTTCATTCATAAACAAGTCGACAGATTACTTCCTGTTGAATAAGCAGGACAAAAGCAAGTGTTATACCAGGCCCGAATTGATATAACAGGATGCTAATGAATCAATATATTCCATGTGCTAGACTGTGAGGTACAGTCCAGATCCACATGCAGGAAGCTAATAGAGCAATACATCCTTCCTTTTCACTTTACGTTATACAGTATCTGGATCATTCATAACAGAGTACCTTTTGAGTTCTATAAACACTTATTAAGTTAAATAAACACTTATTCAAGTGTTGTGATTTATGGAAGTATTTTTGGAGTACTCGACTTTCAGGAATATGCAACAATTTATTAATCATAGCTTGATTATTTATGGTAGAACAGTCAGAGCCGGACAGTAACGGAGTACATTTACTCGAGTACAGTACTTAAGTACAATTTTGAGGGATCTGTACTTTACTCGAGTATCATTTTTGGGGAGTACTCATGACTTTACTCAAGTACATTTGAGAGGCAAATATTGTACTCTTTACTCCAATACATTTCTATCCATAACCGTGAGTACCCGAGTAAAAAAAAAAAAAAGTGGGAAAAAAGAAGAAAAATCTCGGAAACCCTCAATTTGTTGTTTCCCTCTCAAACGTGATTGGATTGTGCAGGCGCCACTGATTGGGACAGCCTATCAGCAATCACTTTCAGCTTTCCGCCAAAGTCAACCCCATGGTCAGATTTTATATTACACATTAATGGAAGCCAAGCATTTGGTTTGATGTTTTTGAGTATGTGGTGTGTTTAACACAGTCAGGTTCAAATGTGGCAGTGGCGTAGCCACGAGGGATTTCTGATTTCTTAAAAAAAAACTTTAGGAGGCAAAATATATTTTTACTGATTATGTGAATTACACTGCGCAAACCAAAGTAGGCTACTACCCAGCGAATGAAGAAGGGTTGGCGCTCAGTCTCCACAGTACATAAAATATTAATTTTGTTTTATTTTATTTTTCGGGTTTGCATTTATGAGGGAAAAACAATGTTATGGACGTGTTCTCCGTTACGGACGTGAGCGCTCTGAAAGCGGCATAAAAAATGCTTTAAAACTTTCACAGAGACATCAAACAGAAAACACAAAACCTTTCTTTAACCTGAATTTCGTTTTGCATTAATTCTATCTTAATTTTAATCAATGTTTCATCAACCAATTGCCTGGGTTTAATAAATAAGAAGTAAATAGCAGATGATAGATAAGAAACGGAGGCGCCGGCACGTGAACTGGATCTCGTCTTATAAATGAATCGAAACTCAGTGTATAAGGTAGCCTACTTGCCTCTCACAGATATGTCTACTTTTAAACAGAAAAATTCAAAACGAAAGAAAACAGACTGCTCTCTGCTTATGTAATCCGTATGAAATGTGCATTTCTCTCTGGCGCGTTCACTACTGAAGATCGCGAGTCAGCATAGTCAACTTCATCTAGCCGACACTGACAAAGAAAACACTTGTTTATTAACAAGAGTTTATTAATAAACAATAAAAATATCTCCTTATATATATATATATTTTACATATTCATAATCATTCCTTTTGCCGGTTCTTTGTGACAGCTTTTAGGTGCTTTATTGGCAGCGCCACCCTTACATGTGGTGTGTGTGTGTGTGTGTGTTGTCCCCGCATTTAAAGATGGGACCCCCAAAAAATGTAATTAAATTAAATAAAGCAACATGGTAAAAAGATGAAAATGACTTGATTTTACTTTCAATTCCTTTTACATTCTCCAAGGTATTAACATTAACATTTTTCATAACTCCATGCAGGACGTTTCTGTGCATAAATGTAAGCACTGTGGCAGTAGTAATGCAATATTTAGAAAATCTACTCTTGTACTCTTGATACTCAAGTACTTTTAAAAACAAGTACTTTAGTACTTTTACTTAAGTAGACATCTGAATGTAGTACTTTTACTTGTACTTGAGTAAAATTTAACAAGGGGTATCTGTACTTTTACTCAAGTAACAAAGCTCTGTACTCTGTCCGCCTCTGAGAACAGTTAACAGGATGGACTCTAAAAGGTTGGAAATAAATGTGGAATTGGTTGCATGAGGGTTTCAGCTTAAGAATAATTTATGTAATTTGTGTAAATTTATTAAACAACTTGGTATGTTCTGTAAATTCATCAAACAAACTATTTTAGTCAAACCAACCGAAAATACAAAGCATACTTATACAACAATTATAGTGCTGTTTGATTTCCCACCATTGAACTTCATGGAAACGTATGTCATTGAGGGTCTGGCTTTCGTTAAAAGGATGCAAAATGATATTGGCAATACAGAAAAAAATATGAAATGATTACCAGTTAAGAAGATATTCCAAAGTTTTCTTTAAAAAAACAAAACAAATGAAAACAAGAAACATCTGAATTGTTTTTAAATTGGCAGTTGTATTTAAAAGTACCTGTGGTCGTGGAAAAAAACATCTGCTCAAATCAAAACAGTAACAAATTCACCCCATGTTCACTTAATCGTGATTTTGAGATTAAAGCAAAATAAATAAAGATTTATTTAAAGAGCATTTAAACTGTTAAGTGAGTCTATAATTTTCTCAGGTCGTTACAATATGATTTCCATCTTCAACTATTGCATTTTATACAATGTTGGCCATTAAGGAAAATGTACTCATGCACATAATATATCTTTCTTTTAATGCACACATACTAAATACTTGAGACATTGATGTAGGTAAGATCATTTCAGAAAACAAATGTGTCCAGACTCACGGGCCAAACATCTGGGGGGGAAAAAGAAAAGGATTTGCACTCACACAATGAAGCACAAGGGCAGCAGGACCTCTGTTAGATCACAGTGACTGGAGGGAAGAGGCAAGGGCACAGTGTTATGCAATAATCCATGTCAGTGTAGAGAACACACTGTGCCGGAACTGCAATTTCCCCTGCCTCTGTCCCAGGCCCTGTTTCTGAAATATTTGCAAAAGACCTCCTACATAGAGACAAAATAAATAGGAAAAGAGTCAATCA